AATAGAAATAAATACCACTCAGTCACTTCTTAGATATTACTAGGAAATGAACTAAATTGTAAATATTTGGTGCTAATGAGACAGCGTAGAAAAGTGCTCTGGGTTTTACAGAGAGCTGAGTGCTGAATAATGCATGAAGGGACAAATCCCAGGCCACAGTCAGGAGAGGGCTTTCCACAGCTTGCTCAAATCTTTATTTTAAACAGCATAAAATTGCCCTTTTGTTTTTTCTACTAGCAAAAAACCAATATATTTTGGAAACATTTATTATAGGAAATAAAATTTTCTTTTAGCAATGTTTTAAAATCTTTATCCCATTGCTTTGCTTCCTGAAAGCATACCTGGCCTTTCTAAGCCTAGAAGCAGTGCCACCCTGGTTTTCTATTTTAAAACTACTACCGTGTTATCCAGGATAGCCTTAAACTCACTCTGTCCACTAACCCAAACACATAATCCTCCTGCCTCAGCCTCCCAAGTGCTCAGATTATCCACATTTTATAAACCCATAAAGAAAACTAGCACCCAAGAGCTGCTAGTTGTGCTTTTAGAGCTACCCTGCATTATTCATGGATTAAGACAAGTGGTCAATTGAAGAATGCTCTTTTCAATAAATGAAGATTCCTTGTTTTTTTAACTACTTCAGTTCTTCTGAGCTAGCTAAAACTGCCCCCTCACTCTCTTCCTGATTTTCTAAAGAATAAAGAGTTTCAGGTTCAAATTAATTGCACTGCATGGGTGGCCTGCCAAGAATGGTCAGTAGAGAACTTTCTCAAATGATAAAGATAGTTAAAATCTGACCTGGGGTTGGGAGTATAGTTGAAGTGGTAGAGCCTATGAGTAGGATGCATGAGGCCTCCACAAATAAATAGATGGATGAATGACTGGTGAATAGAGAGATGCAGTCTACTTTGTTTTACTGTAGATGTGGCTGATTCCAAACAATGTATGTGACACAACTCCCCTCAGGGGAGAGAGCACTGTACCTCTACCCCACTTCTACCTAATCCTGGGCTGCAGGGTTAATAATTTCAGGGATTTTACAATTCTACTCTGGATTGTTTTGGTGCCTTTGACTGTGTGATGTTTATTCATGAGAAAAGGTCATCAGAGAAAAGAGAGATTTGGTAAATGTGCATGTGCTTTCCAATCCCAGAAATGTAGTGTACTCACATGGTAAAGGGAGAGCCAAGAAGAGTTTGCCAATTCCTCTACTCCATTTCCTTCATAAAATAAATAGGCTTTATGACTTTTTCTTAGTGTTAGAAGCAAAATTCAGATTTAAATTAGTTCTCCTGAAATCCAGTTTCATGTCATTTCTAGCTTTACCCTATGTATAAAGAAGGATCCTGTGAGTCAACCTAGACTAAAAGTAATATTTCTAGAGCAGAGTCAGTGGGGCTTTATTTCTTTCCATAGACTTTCCTCAAGTATTTGGTGCATTAGAGATCCTATGGACATGACAATCAATCAGCAAGAGAGCAGGCAACAGAGAAAGAAATTCTAAATGCTTGAGGGAAAGGCTGTGATACTATGATTGGTTAAATTTAGGCAATGAAGAAAAGACCAAATAGAAGAGTAAGGCCATGAGTTTCATACAGGATTAGAGTAATATTAGTTATTAACCAGCTTTAAGTCTTCAGCAAAGTAATTCTTCTTTCCTGTAGTGATTTTTAGATCCCCACAGAGGAAATAAGTTCCATTCCAGTCTTTAAAATAAGAAAAAGATGATTAAAGAAACCAGTTTCCAAAATTCTATCATGTGCCCTCAAGATTGCTGCTGTATCAGAATCCTCTTTAAACCAGTTCTCATTTGTTGCTTTTAAAGTATTTTAAAGGAAACACCATACTGTTACTATAAAAAATTCCAGCTAATGCATTCCATTATTTATTAGCAGCTATGGAACTAAATATAGTAGAACAGAATGATGACTCTTAAGTACATGGCACTGCAGTGAACAGCTCCAAGTCTGAAGGTTGGTCTGCCCTCTTCTAGACAAAGATTAGCAGTGGTATGACAGGTGTTAAGATAAACTGAGATGCTCCAAACTAATCCTTCTCCTGGAAATAATCAGGACTGAAAGGGAATCTAAGAGGAAGTAATCTTCTAACTTTATGATTTTTTACTATTTAATGATGTCCTCAAATTACATCAAATATCTTTTTGCAGGCCACAGTGTTATGTGTTCCAAGTACTTGGGTCTCCCTGAGGCATCATATAGTGAGACTGGGAACATGAAACTATGAAAAGAAGTTTAGAGATCTGCAATTTACTTTTTTGTTCATTCATTCATCCATTCATTTTTCATCATTAATTCATTCATCTACTAATAAGTTAAACATTTCTACATGTAGGTCACAGGACTGCCTGGAATTCAGTGGCTAGACTTTCACTCACTTCAAGAAGAAGACAAATTACAATGAAGACTACCACTAAATTAAAAAATGATGAAGGAGTGAAAAGGTTGTAATAGACAGTAAGTGCTAGTCTAATAACAAGTGAGGTCTTAATTAAGTCACAAATAGGCAAGTCTTACTACCCATTATAGATTGCCATTGATGCCGTATACCTTTTGGTGAGCATCAGTTGACAAATAGCAATTATATATGGAATGGAAACCTGGAGGGCATTGCAGTAGGACACAGTGTACTGACATGGTAAAGGGAAAGGCAGGAAGAACATGCTGATTGTCTTCTCCTTTTCTTTTGTAAGATGAATAAACCTATGGCTTCTTAGCAGTCAAAGCTAATTCCCATTTAAATTTGCTCTCATGGAATCCAGTACGATAAAGTTTCTAACTTTACTGTATGTATACACGGAAGGAATCCTGAGAGTCATGGATGACCTGGATCATTCTCAGCAATTAAGTGCTAGAAAGGAAAGAAAGGTGAGAAAGAGGGAGGAATCAGGAAGAGGGGAGGAGGGTGAGAAAGACAGAGGGAAACATGAAGAGAGAGAGGTAGGAGGGAGGGTTGGGCGCATCCTGCTTATCAGCGCTAGGGGCATCAGTATCTTCCTAAAGGTATTTCTCCTCCTTTCCCCTTTGATACAACTTCACCAATGCTTTCTTTATACTTGCAGATGAGAAGGAGGGAAAGCCTAGGATTTCCAGTCACCCCTAGCACCACAGTCAGGAAGTTTATTTTATTGTCCTGTTTTCATTGGGCGGCCTTGAACTACATGTAAGGGAATGTATAGTATCCTCCATTTTTCAATGTTGATAAACCCGGAAGGAATGATAAAGCAATTTTTAAAATACTTTTAAATAATTAAAGTATGTCATTTTCCTCCTCAAAACTCTTCTAAAACCCCCTTGCTCTCTGTCAAATAAATGACCTCTTTTTCTTTCATTGTTGCTAAATATGTAATACAAATATCATATAAAATATATTCCAAAATATATTAATACAATCCACTTAGTCTGTATAATATAACTTAAACGTGTGTAATTTCAACTTGAACAAGGATGACATCAATAGATATACTAACATGGAAGGGGAAATTTCATGGGGCCCCATCCCTAGACAAGTAACTACAGGCAATCAAGAAGTTCTTAGAGTAGAAGAATTAATCTTCCCCAAGGAAGAGCCTCCCAATATGTTATCCCAAACCATTTAAAATATAACTTTATCTTGGAATGTTAGCAGGGTTATCCCAGGCCATGAAATTTGGGAAGGGAGGACAGCATTTTCATACAATGAGTGTATTACTGACTAATATAGGAGTGACAGTAAACATTACTTTAGCTGTATTGTCTTTCCATCCTGTTTCAGTGAGTAAATACTGTTAACATCCCAATGTTTTTTTCTTTTTCTTTTCCAGAGTATCTCCAGTTCTCTAATAGAAACACAGTTACTTAAAGCACTTTGTTTGAAGAGTAAAGTCCTTTAAAGATTCCCCAAAAAATGTAACAAATAATTCTAGAGGGTATCTTAGTTAGGTTGCTATTGCTGTGATAAACTCATAACCAAAAACATCTTGTGAAGGAAAGGGTTTATTTCATCTGACACTTCTAGCAAACACTTCTGTCACTGACGGAGGGCAGGGAAGCAACTCAGGCAGGTCAAGAACCTAGAGAAAGGAACTGAAACAGGGGCCATAGAAGAATGCTGCTTACTGGCATTCTCCCCATGGCTTGCTCAACCTGCTTTCTTATAGAACCCAGCACCACCTGATCAGGAGTGCTATCACCCACAGTGGGCTGGGCCCTCCCACATGATCATTAATCAAGAAAGTGGTCCCCAGAGACTTGCTTATGGGCTAGTCTAATGGAGGCAATTCTTCAGTGGAGGCTTCCCTTCATAAATCACGCTAGCTGTTGTCAAGTGAAGAAAAGAAAAAACAAAACAAACACAAACAAAACAAAACAAAACCTAACAGAAGCAGACACCCACAACTAAACACTAGCCAAACTCCTGGAATCCAGTTACAGAGAGGGAGGAGTGATGAGCAAATGATTCAAGACCAGGCTAGTGAAACCCACAGAAACTGTTGACCTGAACAAGGGAGAGCTCATGCACCCCAGTCTGATAGCCGGGAAACCAGCATAGGACTGACCCAGACCCCCTGAATGTGGGCCTTAGTTAGGAGGACTGGGCAGTCTATGGGGCCTGTGATAATGGGTCAGTATTTAACCCTAGTATACTAATATACTTTGGGAGCCCATCCCACATAGAGAGATACTCTCTCAGCCTAGACACATGGGGGAAGGTCTAGGCCCTGCCCAAAATGATATGACAGACTTTGAGACTCCCGATGGAAGATCTCACCCTCCCTTGGAGAGCAGAAAGGGGATGGACTGGGGTTTGGTGGGGGGTGATAGGGGAGGATGGAAGGGTAAGGGAACTGGGATTGACATGTAAAGCCAGTTTTGTGAAATATATGTGTGTCGTTTTGCTATTTAACATTTGTGAATAATGGCCAGCTCAGTTTACAATTAGGTGAGAACCAAACAAGTTGGTCCCTCTGTGGGAATGAGAACCGATGAAGCATAATAACATACCTGTGAAGCTTGAGAGTCACAGTTCCATAAACAGTGGCAAAACCCAGAAGACGGACCCACCTTAGAAGAATACAACGGAAGGTACTTGGCTCAAAGTACAGAATAACAACCTGCAGGAAGAGACAGAGAGACACCTTCAGCACCATTTGCTATCCCACAACAGTTAGTAGATTATACCTGGGTTCTTAGTATGTGTTAATTTTGACATAAGCATACACTCACTGAAATTGTTATTTAAATTGTTCCCTTATTTCATTACAGAGACTGAAGAACTACAGGAATCTCTCTATTGGTTTCAGTGAAACCTAAAATCTTGAAATCGAATGTCAAGGAGTCCTAATCACCTGCTTCCAAGTCTGTAGTATGCAAGCATCTGTCTTTTTTCCACACAACCCTGCAGGTTTCTTTCCCCTGCCTTCCTCTACCATAGCCTTTCCCATTATTGTGTGCCCTTACCCTGTGTGAGGCCGCCCAACAGTTTTTCCATACTATACCTCTCAACATCCACCCACCACTCCTGCTTTCACACTCAACTCAGAACATGGACCAATGATTTCACTAACTCCTTGCACCTCATGTCAGAGTTTCAATAAACAGAAATGAAATATTTCAGATGTTCTCCTATGGTCTGTTGAGGACAAAAATTAGCAGTGGCATAACACAGGAGCTACAGTGGGTGTCACAGAATGAGTGACCAATTCTATGGGACAGACAAAAGACATGTACAAGACACTCCAATACCTTTCATACATTGCTATGTAAATTTCAGCAAATACTCATGGAAAAATTGGTCTGACTTTGCCAGGTAGCCTTGGGTAATACTAAAGGATGAATGATGTTGCAAGGAAAGACTTACAATTACCTGGATCAACAGATATTAACTTACTCTGTTAAAGTCAAGGCTATCATCACAGAAACTCTGGTGGTGGCCAAAATCCTGACTGTTGTCTTTGCCTTTTTAAACTAGAAGCATGTCTACTGTGGGCAGCTAACATTTCCCTCGACCACTGCACAAATACAATCCCTCTCCTCAGTGTCACTAGAATGACATTAGTTACAACTTATTCCTGTTTCTAAACTATTTGAGAAACAGAAGGAATATTTTAGGGAATTGGAAGGAACAAGACAAAAGTCTTAGGAAGACCTTTTACAAAATAAAAGTAGGCACATACCCAAGATATCATCACATTGTGTTATCTGGAAGTCATGTGATAACTTTTGACTCTTCTTTCACTTTTGCAAAATGTATTATTAAATCATTTTCTAACTCTCTTTCTCCCTCTCCCTCTCCCTCTCCCCCCCCCCTCTCTCTCTGTGTGTTTGGAGAGAGGGAGAGAGAGAGAGAGAGAAAGAGAGAATGAATATACACATAAGCCTTGCCTTTAAGATTTATAAGAAAAGGATTTGAACTCAGAAAAAAGATATAAACAAAAAACCATTTACAATTTTTTAAATTTGTACAATACATTTTATCTTATCACGGCAAAAAGAAATGACAAGTTAGAGACTAGAGACACCAGAGTATAAAATCGACAACACATAAATTTTCACTGTTACAATTAGAAAAAGATTTTGAAATTATTCTGACAACATGGATTCCTGGAGGTAGACAGTTCTGCGTTATAAGATAGCTTCCCGCTGTACAGTAAGTTCTGGTAGGGAAAGGAATAAGCAGAGGGGTAAGTAGTTCAATAGCACCTGGTGCAAGGAGTATCCAGTAAAAGTGGCTAATTTTAGTAGGAAAGATACTTTATTCAGTCCTTGTTATAAAAGTCACAGTTTTTCATTGTCTTACAGTTATACCCCATCATTTCCAAGGATGATTTTCTACACTTCCAGCTATTGTTCTTTTGAGCTTCTATCTTCAATTTTGGATATATAGTTTTTCCACATCTTATATATTTTAATCTCTAAATCAAAATTAGAATTACAGAAGGGCATGGGTCTCTGTATGTTCATGTGCTTACAAATAGAATAACAGTCTATTTAGAGTTTTTTTTAAAGAAAATGTTATTTTAAAAATAAACTATTTGAAAACCACAAGGACTCACCAATCATCATTTTAATTGACATATTCAATATTTATTTACTCAGAAAGGAATTTAGAAGCTCCAAATGCAAATTAGATGTGTATTTGATGTTAAAAGAAGTTATAAATGCACAGAACAGATGTTAAGCCTATGACAAAAATAATGGCATGTTCATACGAAATATTACATAGGAGTTATTATATTTTAGATGCTCAATTGAACATGTTTTACACATTTAGGCCTCTTTAGTCCTCACAATGCTTTTTACCTATGCAATTTTGTAACTGAGAAGTGGGGCACAGAGAACTGAGGTCATGTGCCCAGGGTCTTGGAGGTGGAGGTGTTGGTGACAGGGTCTGAATGCAGGCATTTTGTGCAGAGTTCATGCTTATGAGAGCTCTGCCCACTAGCCCCTCTAGACTTTCTTAGTGGGAAGGAATGGAAGTCATTAACCTATGACCTAAAGCACAAGGAGGATTTGGTGGAAGAGCAAATAATTTCAGTGGACTTGAAATTATCCCAGCTGGGAGGGTGGGCATCTGAGCAAGGACCTAAGGAGGAGCAGGTATAAGTGTGCAGGTTAACTCACAGTTGGAGGTGCTAAGACAGGGGTGTTGTGAGAAAGTTTAGCATGTGTGGCTACAGCGAGGAAGAATACATGAAGAGAAGCATGCATGACACAGCTCCAAAATGGGTCCGGTAGGGCCAGAGCACTGGAAGCTTTGTATAACAGAGTGAGGGATTCAGAATTATTCCATGAGCACCCCATTAAGATTCTTCCTGCTGAGATCTGAATATTTGTTAAGGAACTCATCTAGCAACAGACTGTCAAGGGATTGGCTGAACTGAAGAACAGGAAGAAACTGAAGGAAATGTTGGTTGGGAGGGAGAATAAGCTGGAGTGCTTCATCTTGTAGACAGACCTTATCTCTTTGTTTTATTCCATGGCTTTCATTACAGGACCCAAACAACTGTTGGAATGTTTCTTCTTTTAGGACTTCACTTAGGACTTCAGGGGCTCTCAGACTTTTAGGGAAAAAGTCAAATTCTTTCCAATGGTTGGCAAGCCTCAGAATTGCAAGAATCCCACTCATCACTGCTGTGCTCCCACTCAAGCCTGCAGACCCTTGCATGTGTGGCTTTTTTCTATGGATGTTCCATGCACTGTCCCATGCCTGATATGTACATGGGTTATTTTTGTTCATCCTTTTTGGCTTTGACCAGAATAGTCCTTCCTTTATGAAGCAGAAGACTTCTTGTGGGATGCCTTAAGATTTCTACTTGTTCGCCACCTCTTTACTCTAGCAGGGGCAGGCTCTGTGGCAGCCATATTCATCGTGTCTGCTTCTGTGACACCGAGACTGAATCCTGGCACACCAGAAAGGCCTCAATTATAGTATGGTGAGAAAAAATAAAGCAAACAAAGCTATACAGGGGGAAAGTACCACTTGATGTAATCAGTGTTGAGAAACCAAGAATTCAGTCATTTGCTAGACAAAGGAAAGAATATCTGACTCAAGAAAACATCTGATTATTCTTCAGAGCAAAGGAAAAAAATAAATCTTAAGGACATATACAGAGTTTAAACCTGGTTGGCTGAGAGAAGGGAGGTTGTGTTTGAAATGAAGCAGATAAGATGTGTAGGGATGGAGTAAATTATGAGACTTCAACCTAGGCACTTCCTTGTCACATCCTTCATGACTCAGCTCAGGCTCAACATCTGTGACACTTCCCACTCCTCCCACACAGCATCAGAGTGCCATCTTATTTGTACATTATTTACTCTTGTTGAATGCTATGCTTCCTTCATTCACTCAACAGCTCTGTTCGAAAGTAATTATTTCTGCAACTCAGTTGTTTAACTTATCTTCCTTTCTGTAACATAATGTATACAGGATCAGTCCATGATCCGTGTTCCTGCTGTAAAGGGCAAGGAAGTGACTTTTGCAGTGGTATTGATGGCTGCTGACTCATAGTTGAGAAAGAGGGACATAGAAGGCCTCTGTAACAAACCCTATTCCCCCCCCCCCCACCAAAGTAACAGCATAGATAGGAAGCCATTGAGGAGAACTCTTAAAAACTATGATAAGGATGCTGGAGTGTAGCTACCCACAACTGATGGCTTCAGGGAGGGGGCAGGGTAGGTGGTGAGGGACTTGATTTTCTTAAAGGGGCTGGCTACTGGGAGTTTGAGCATGATACATATTATATATGATTTATACATATATACAATTGATATTGAGAAAAGGAAGAAATGGTGGGTATGAAATAATGCTTGTTTTTTAACAAGTTATGAATAAATTGCCTATAGGTCAGTTCAGAGTTAGGTCTTGCTAATTGGTATGCTATAAAATAAAAAATAAAAACAAACCCAAAGTGTGTGTCTAAAGTTTTGTTGTCTTATGACAGGCTAAATTTTACATACTAACATAATTTAACAAAATGACTATGATATGCACAGCCCTTTCCCAACCATAAGCTGATAACATTCAATAACAGACCTTTACAGGAAAAGAATAAAGGAAAATTAATCCATTAAGCTAAAGGACTTATGAATGATGGCTCTAGGACATAAAACTGACAACGGCCATATTCTAGGGTAAAAACAATGACTGCAATGGAAATGCTATGGCTTCAATGTCCCCTCAAAAATTCATCTTGAAATTGTCATAAAAGTACTAAGAGGTGGTACCTTCAAGACATTGCCAGGCTGTGAGAGTCTTGGCCTCATGAGTGGATTGATATCAGAAGGCAGCAGTGGAGTTGTTTCTTAAATGGGCTCTTAATACGAGTCAGTTCAGCCTGGTTTTTCTGGGTGCCTTGCTAGTGATTGCCTTTCTCTGATGGTTCTTGCTTAGCATCTTTCTCAGGTCTGGTTACATAATTCTTCCTGCCTCTCACCAGACTAAGCTGGTTTTTGTGGCTGGAAGCTTTTCTCTGTTTTGCTCTGTCCCACTGGATGGATCTCTTTCTCCTGCCTACCGGTCCCACAGTCACTTATTAAATAATCATTCCAAGGCTTAACATTAACTATATATAGCTCTTTGGCTAATGGCTCAGGCTTCTTACTGATTATATCT